TAGTTAGCCCTCTACTAACTATGCATTAATGTAGAGCGAAGTATATGTTTGTGGGGGAAAGAAACAAGTAAACTACGTTTTCATCCCGACAAGCCTGTTTCGTGGTTGCCCACGCGTCATGGGATTTAATAAGAATATTCTTTACCATCGCTTCTTATATACAAAATAATTGACATAATAACAATAATAAACATATATCTAATCTATGCTGCGTGGAGTTTAACTGTTCAGCTATTGCGTAGGAGGGCTTTGTTTCTATGGTGGCAAGATGACACGAGTTCATTACGTTTTTTGAGTGTAGAAAGTTTCGGTTGGTAAATGATTAGAAATTTTTCCTTGTGATATTTGCTTTTCTCATTAATTCAATATGTGATATCCCCAGATACTTTTGTCACATAAGTATAATTTGCAGGTTCATTTGAACTGCGAGAGCAATATAAACATTACATAAGTGGAACTAGTGGCAATGTGGCTACAAGCTACGTACTAAGAAATCTTGACAAAAGAGTTTATAAAAATTTACAGCCAAGTTGCTTTGTATTGATTATTGTAATTGGTCTGAAAAATGGCAAATTAATTTATATATTCTTTTCTGCAGTTTTTGAGAAATTTTGAACATTAAACTGACTTCAATCCTTATACATTTGTTGAAGTTGTAAACAATGATTTCTGCAGGGCATAAAATAAGTGACTAGCTAGATCAAGGCTCATGTAAAACTGTAAGCAAAGGGGCTGATACAATTTCTTTAATTCATTATTTATCAAAGGATCATGTACCTTAGTTTTGCAACAAATTAGCTGTTCTTATAACTTCAGGAAAAAACTCGAGGGCATTCCATTTTCTTAACAGGATCATTTGCAGTTGAAGTCAGAGATAATTTGAGGTCTGTCATTGTTTAAGGAGCTCTACAATATTAGTTGTTTGTTTATCTTTTGGTTTAATCATTATTTATTTATTAATCTGCGATACAAAAAATTAAATCAACAAGGAAGCATGATAAGCTGGGTTCAATACAACAATGGTCAACGATGCATATGGCGAGGAAACTGAAATGAAACCACGAGGCATATAGAAAGTTAGGTTTCCTCCCAAAAGAACAAATGCTCACACTATATAAAACTATCAATATTTTTTCGACAGGAGTGCGGCACACACATCAGATTATCTGGCCTAGTGCTCAATCGAGAAGACGATAATTATTTTATTGCAAATAAAAATGCTGGAAATTGTCCTTGTACGACATTCGTGCCGTTGTTACTCGACACAGTATCTCTAAAATCGAACCTAACCCCAGAACAGGTCACGGGCGATATACCATTTCGACCAAAACAGGAATTAGCACCAGAAATAAAAGCTTCGACACAATATTTCATTCCCTTTTGGATGACAACTGGATCATCAAAGAGAATTTTGAAGCCATAAAAGGAATGCGATTTTTCTTCGATGAGCTCAGATGAAAACCTCTCAGTGACATCAATAAGTTGTACATTCCCCATCGTCTTTATGCGAATAGTAACGGAATATTCCTCGTTTTCACTTCCGCACAACGTTATTCCGATTAACAAAATGTCTTTGTCGACTTTGAATATAAGACAGTCTTGTTTACGAGGCGAATAAGAATGACTTAAGTCAGCGTACTCCAGTGATCCAAATCTGCAACAAGCAAAATGACAGCGCCTGTTTTTCACAGGAAATCCAACTGGGGTGGTCAGCACTGAATTCAAATACTTCACAACACCGAAGACTTCGTCTGGCGTGAGTATCTTGGTGTCAAGAACAACACCAGCGAATTCCTCTTGCTTCATGACTGGGAAACGGATTGCTTTTACAATATTCTCCCCAAGAAATTTCCTTTTTACACTGCCATCTGCAGTCAAACCTTCTTTCTCACATTTCTTTCTTGCCCACAAATTCACAGCTTTGAACAACTCCACCTCTTCAATATTAAGCGTGTCACGTTTGACTACTTCCTCAATTAACGATCTTTCGAGTGTCGCGAATCCATCTGATTTTAAAGCCTCTTCTGCCTGTTCATCGACGACTTTCCAACATCGATTCAACAGCTTTTTCTCCTCCAACTGCTGGGCATTCGGCAAGATACAAAAAACATTCGATGCATCCAGCTTATCCCGTAGATAATCGGTGCATTTATCAGCCAGTGAAGGCACCATGTATTTCTTCGCCAAATACATGACCCCCATCACATTACTTCCGCTCAAGTTCACTTCATCGCTGTACATGTAACGAAACAACTCCAACAGACTCTCGTACTTACAATCAGGCAGTTCAATGGAGTCTCTTGTCTCCGCCAACTCACCGTAAAANGATGTTGAAGGAAATTGTTCGGCTTCAACACTAAATAAAATATAAACAAATAACCAATATTGGCCAAAACTGATTTACTTTACGCATTTCAATTATAGAATAATGACTTGTGCAAATGAGATCGCTTACATACATATCTCAGGATCTCAAGCAAAAATCAGTCAAATAATTATTCTCACCTCGAAAAAATCTCCCCGGAGTCTCTAGTTCCATCGTAGGAACAATGCAATAACATTTCTGCAAAAGCACTGTCTGTAGTGTTACCGAAACCCATTGTTGTTTTCCTTGCCCTCCATAAATCATACAGACTCTCGAAGTCGGGCAGACCCGGCCTTCCTCTATACCGCTTCTTCGGCGGTATCAACTTTTCAAATAACGTTTTTCACCGTCATACATGTAAGAATTAAAAACTATTTACTGATATGGATACTACGATAGTTTGTTGTTCGCACATGATTCAAGATAGAACTTTGAAAGCCCTAATTAGTAAGATGGAAGAAGATATCAAAGCGACTCCGCAACTTCAAGGAAAATAGCGTATTTTTGATAAAAAATGATCTGGGCGCGCAAGGCATCTCGGTTGAAAATGGGCCTTTAAACTGGCCCAAGACTGCTTCTCCGAATGGCGTCACATTCCAGCCGGTGTCTCACAGGGGACCAAGCTTGGGCCGCGGTTATTTTTCTTAATGATTAATGACCTGAATGCAGGGGAAGCAGATATGTGGAAATATGTGGATGATACCACAATCTCAGAGGTGGTAGCTTAAGGCCAAAAGAGCTGTATTCAGCAAATGGTAGACGATCTCGCAATACAAGCAAGGGATGAAGGTTTTCAGTTAAACGAAAGAAAATGTAATGAGCATAGGATTAGCTTTACAAAAGGCGAACCAGAATTTGACCCTATCTGGGTTAACCAGATAGGGTCAAATTCTGATAGGTTAACCAGATACGGTCTTATATTCAGTGTAACGTTTAATAAACCTCCTTTAATACAATTAGCGATGGCGACACTACATCAGCATAACAAGATGGCCGACCCGATTTTCCCGCTCTCATCCTTTTGTCCTGGGGCGAGACTAGCCTCGTTTCCTAGCAACGTTACATCAGATATAAGCGACCAGGCACTTGACAACATTGTGCGAAACATTTTGACAGAATTCACGAACACTGGCTACAGGCGCATGACTGGTTTTCTTCAAGGACGAAGGCTACGTATTCAGCAGTTGGGCAGTTTCTGGGCTTTTACATAGATCAACCAGAGAGGCATTTTGTCTGCACATGTTCAGTGAATTTTTGTTTGAAGTGGATAACTGCTGCAACATGCCTGTGTGGGTTTCCCGCGAAAGAAGTGAAGGAGGAAAATGCGTCGGAAAACAATAGTGGAGTGAGTTCTTGCGACAACTTTTCTTGCTATTTTTCCCTCTGTAACTTAGACGGAAGCATCCTAGTCTTAGTATGGTTGTGTGGTGCAAAAGGAAGTCACATTGATTGATTTTCCAAACGCGAAAGGGTGTACAATCGAGTCGAATTCCATTACCCTTTGATAATTGTTGGTGTGATCGATGTAGATGATCATTTTTGTGAATGATACAGGAGGCCTGTCGAAGAGCACAGATGAATTGGAAAGTAATTTAATCATGTCACTGCTATCTCAAGAAATTGAGTGCATTTGTAGTACTTACTTTCCTTTGAGTGTTTTAGAGCTTAAACTGCTAGTGCAATGTATTTGCAATTTCAGCAAAAAGTAAAAGTTCACAGAAGTTTAGGTTTTGGTTGAAAAGTTTTTTGAACAAATCACAACTGGTGGGAACAATTACTGAAACGCCATTGTTGCATTAAGAAAAGCAAGATAATGTTGGCACTAGAGATATGTTCGTCATAACTTGAGGGAAATGTCAGAAAGATTATGGATTTTATCAGAGAAAAGAAAGTTCTTTTCAGTCATCAGTCTCAAAAATATCATCACATAAGGTTTATGACGTGAAAAATTTTACCAAAATCTGATCACTTTGATTTGATCAAACTACCCCTAACCCTCAACAGATGAGAATCGCACCATAACTGGAGAGATGTGTACAAAAAAAAAAGACCACCCTGTTGCCTAAATGAATATGACTGATCACTCCTCACATTCATTTTCAATGAAATCTGGACAAAACTTCTGAAAACTTTATGGTAATTTTACCAATTTTACAAATAAAGTAGACATAACTCCCATGTAGCATATTAGTCTAGGCAAGTTGTGTACAGAGAACAAAAGACTAATAATTTAAACCAGTAGTAAGCTTCTGGGAATAACGACAAATTCTTGAACAACAGCTTGCCACAGTAAATGTCACAGCCATTCATTCTGTCTATACTACCAATTATTGGGTCACTTCACATTACCTTAAACAGAAGAGAACATAACAGTTAATT